GGTGTGGGTATGGGTGTGGGTGTGGGTATGGGTGTGGGTGTGGGTATAAAATATATCCAAATCCACACCCACACCCCACACACCTGCACCTACACCTACACACCCACACCCTAGTTTTGAATTAGCTATTCGATTTTTAAAAGAATGTGAGCAAAAATTATCATAAGTTAATCCACATGGATTAGATTAGGTTTTGTCATCATTAAAAAATTTACTTCATGAATTATTATTACATAAACGAACATGATATATGTTTGAAGTTTTATTTGCTGTACGAAAAGATAAATTTAAAACAGATCCAGCTATACAACTTAGTCTTGATTTAATTGACAAAAATGAACAACATACACATATGATTACATTGGATGATCCATGTGAATGTGCAACAATGCTTGGTAAGATGAATTGTTCAATGAGATATTTTACTTTATTTTTTCTTTGTTTAGATGTATTTCAATACGATGAACAATGTGAAGAAAACGAAGCAAAATATAAAGAAATTCGAAAAACAAGTCTTCATGAAAATAGTAATAATGAAGATGAATCAAGTTCTGCTTCATCTAATAATGATGAAGAAGGTGATGTGGCAGAAAATAGTATTTATTCAAAACTATTCAATCACAAGTTTTTAAAGAACAACAGTTTAACCATTTACGTAAAGTTTTAATTGATTTATCCATTTCTGTCAGTCAAGATAAAATTATTTTTCGTATAACTCCGTCATTTACTAATGAAGGTACCAAATCCGACACGATTCACCATTTGTAAGCTCATGTTGTAGGAATATGAGCATCATCTCCTGATTTGAACAGAACGGAAAAGATTCAAGCGCAGAAGTAGGACAATTTTGCTGGATTTATAGCACAAGATGTGAGATACTGACAAGGCAATCGAAGAAAGGATTTGTGAGTTGAAATTTTTCTCCATAGGTAAGTCTCTCACGATCGTAAATCTTTACTTGTTATTCAATGCAAAATTGTTCTTCAAACGATGAATGACAATAACCGATTAACTGCCGAATGGATACAAGTTAAAAATATATTTCTTTTTAATATGTTCTTTCTTATTATCTTTTTTTTTCTTTTAATAAAAGAAAAAGTAAATATGATTTTTCTTGTTTTACAAGAGATAGTTAATCATGTAAAATTACATTCGTTCTAATGGTTGAATGCCTAAAATTTCAAAACATTGTTTCAATACATTTGCTGTTGCTTCACACAAAAGTATTCGTCGATAATTAAGTCGAACTTCACCAGTCGTTTTATCTTTTTCAATACAATAACATCGTTCACAAAAATCAGTAAATGTTGTTGCTAATTGATACATAAATTCACATAAACCATGCATTAATAATTCATCAAGTACTCGTGTAAATACATCAGCATATTTAATAATACATTTAGCTAATTTTAATTCACGTTCTTCAATTTCAAAATTAAGTTTAATATCACGTGCCATTGCTTTTAATACAGCATGATCAACACCAGCTGTTCGAGCAATCGATCTATTTTATATTTAAATAAATAAGAAAAATAAAAAAAAAAAAAAAAATATTTCAATTACTGAATTCGAGTGTAAGCATAAAGTGAATATGCAGTTGTATTTCCTCGATCATCAAGCATCTGTTATAAAAAAAATTTTATTATTAAAATTTCTTTTATTTTTCTTACTCGATCAAATGAAAATATATAATCAGAATTTCGATTATGAGATAAATCAGCATATTTAATACAACCGTATGCAACTGATTTTTGAGCTTTTTCAAGTTCTTCAGGTGTTAATACCTAAAACAAAGGGTTTCAAAATAATTTATGAATACTAAAAGAAATTTTTACATTATGTCGATCTTTTTCTTTTAACTTAGCCATTGATCGTTCAAGACCTTCATCAAGTAAATCTCGTAAACGAATTGTTGCACCAGATCGACTTTTTAATTTTTTACTATGAAGATAAAAACAAAATTAATCAATATTTCTTAATTTATTCTCCCACCCATCTTCACCAAGTACAACACCAAAACCAACATGATCTATCCGAATATTCTTTCCTTCAGTCCATCCAGCTACTTTAGCACCAGCAAATATTGATTGCATATGAAGAGCCTTTTATTTTTGTATAATTAAATTCAAAAAAATTCTTTATTATTAAAATGACTTACTTGACCTGAATCAATAACATAAATAAGCCAATCAGCATTTTCTTCTTCTAAACGTTGTTTTATTGTTGCCATATCACTTGTATCATATGTAAAACTTCCATCAGTTTTAACAATTGTTAACGGAACATCAATATCAGGTAAAAACATAACTTTACGACCTTCTTCTAATTTTAATAAATCTATTTGAAAAAAAAAGAAAACACAGAATTGTTTTTATTTTTACAAACAGTAATTGGGCTTCTTACTTTTCGATTCAAGTTCTTTAACAATATCTAACATTCGACTTTGATAAAATGATTCACCTCGATCAATTATTTTAGTATCAAGTTCTTTATAAATATATTCAAAATCTAAATTAATTATATATTTAATATTGTTCAATAAAAGAAAATTTTATTCTTATCAAACCTTGTCGAGATACATCACAAATAAGTTTCCATGCATGAATTATATCTGGATCAAATGCTTGAAGTTTAACAACACATCCATAAGCTCGTTGTTTAAAATTAAGCTCAGTATCAAAACGTTTTTTTTGATTCCTGATTATATTTTATTTTAGACAATAATTATATATTAAATTAAATTTTTACTTTATAAAATGATAGAAGATCACTAATTGGTGGGGATTTTGTTTTATATTCAGGATAAATATCTTGTAAATGAGCAATAAGCATACCAAATTGAGTACCCCAATCACCAAGATGATTTAATCGAAGTACATCAAAACCAACATATTCAAGAAGACGAGCAATACTATCACCAATTATAGTTGATCTATATACATACAAAGATAAATAAATAATATACATATAGTTTTAATATTCGATCGAAAGATTGTTAAAAAAATGAGATCATTCATCTTCAATTCTTTCAAGTAATAGATAATTCTTGGCGTCTTACTTTTTCAATCAAGTTAGCACCAATAATTCACAATAAATAGAATAATATGAAATGAAATGAGAATAACTTCAATTTGAATGGATAAGGCTCAACAAATGATTAAAGAACTTGACAAGAGTAGATTTTCGATCTTCACTCTCAAGAGAACTACCATAAACGATATTCGACACCGCTTGAGTTCATATTGGGCTTCGGTAACACTAGAAAAAGCCTCAAAGACTTGGTTCCCATGGACATTTGCAGCAGAGTCACGGTCGTTTTACTGAATTTTCGATCCACCTACAGATATATATCGAAAAATCAAAAAAAAAGGATTTCGTCGTCAAAGTGTGTCCATATATAGATCAAATGATCCATAGAATATCCTGAAATATTTCTTTGTAGAGATTTCAAATTTCCCGAAAAAAATAATAGTTTGCTGCACGCATGATACAAAAATCGAGTTTAGCGGAAAATTCAATATCTCGACCAAAAAGAAATTTTTTTTTGGCGAAACTAAGGATATTCTACGAACTATTATGCCTATCTATGGATAAAATTTTATGTCAAAAATTCAGTAAAACGATCCTAACGAGACCTCAAAGGTCCATGAGAACGACCCTTTTAGACTTTTCTAGTCTCACAGAGACCTCCTATTGAGCCCAAACGGCAGCGGGTATCATTTCGAATGAAATGTTAGAGAAATACCACGAAAGATTAACAAAAAATTCATACATCTTCTATCACAAAAAAATATCATAGAAGACATTATCGGCAACAGTTTAAGACCATTGACGAAGATACTTTAAATTTTTTTCCTACAGATTTTTGCATCGAATATTACATCTTTAATCTGTTTCACTATAAAATTACCGTAAATGTCCAACATGCATTTCTTTAGCAATATTTGGTGACGAAAAGTCAATAACAACTTTCGGCTTTTTAGATTCACCTTGACTTTCATGATTACCAACTATATTTAAAACATTAGGTGGTAAAGTACCTCTCAATAAAATATTTCGAATTTGTTCAGAAACGAATTCTGCAGAAATAGTAATGTTAATAAAACCTGATCCAGAATATTCAATCTAAAAAAAAATGAAAAATCTTTATTTTGATAATGATTAAATTCTAACAAACTTTTTCAAGTATTCTATGTTCGGGAAGATTTTCAACAATGATTTTAGCAACTTCTGTTGATACCATTTTTTTACCAGCAGCAGTTAATTTCTACAAAATAAAAACTCGAACATTTATTTATTTATTCATTATAGTTTCTTCTAACCTGAGCAATAGGCATAGCTGAATTACATTGATAATCCGTTTGTTGTCCAGGTACAACAAGAATTGGTAAAGTTGTATTCTCAGGAAAAGATTTTCGAATAGCTTGTTCAAAAAGACTAATCAATGTATTTAATATTTGATAAGAATGTTGACTATCATCTTGTGCATTCGATGTAAAATAAGTTTTCTTTGATGTTGTTGTTGGCTTTTTAGTTTTATTATTATTCTGATTTGATTCAGGTGATTTTGTTTGTAATGACTGTTTTTTGTCTTTATTATCATCTTGTTTAGCTTCTGTTGCATTTGCTTGTGATTGTTGTTTTTTAATTCTTCGATACTCTAAATCAAGAATAATATCTATTGAATAAATTCTTCTATCCTTTTTCTTTTTATATTTATTTTACTTACTCGAATAAGAATATTTGCTCGATAGTTTAGTTTTTCGTTTTCAGCTCGTAATGCTTCAAGTTTACGATTATCTTTAAATTCTGGTCGATTAAATAATTGTGTTTCAAGTTCTTTGACTTCGTCTTCCTAGTAAAACAAAAATAAACATTAAGATTTTAAATTAATACAATAAAAAAAAACCTGTTGTTTTAGTCGTGCTAGAACTTCATCCATTTTCTTGAATTATGCTATTTGTTTTTTCGTTTTATATAAATCTAGTAGAATGCCGGAAACAATAATTTCTCTCTCTATATAAATATATATATATTTGAAAGATGATGCAAGTATCATAAAACCGTCATGTTTGGTTGCATCACCGCAAACCGTGTGAGAATGATTGTGCGCAGAAAAAAGCTATGTTGAGTTTCTTATTAAAATATCTGTGTTATTTACCTCTTTGTTTCTTTCTTCTATAGACCAAGCGTTGGTAATTAGGTAAAGCGGTGACTCAGACTAATTGAATAAAAATTTAGCAATAGATAAGAACTTTGCGACATCTTTCGAGTTTGATTTGTTGCTGCTCACAACGATGTTCAAGATTTCTGAAAAACAAAAATTTCTCTTGGGAACCATCAAATTTAAGACAACTGCTAGTATGCAAAAAATGCTTTGAGAAAATACAAAAATTTACTGGAAACTTCTGATATTTATCAAGACATGAGAAGGAAATTTCCATATAACTTCCCTAATTACTCATATACCACAAAGAACTTTCTATGAAATTTCGACAACTGGTAAGGCACAAGAAAGCAATTTCTAGATATGTTCGCTAATCATTACCCATTGACTAGGGATTTGCTAGTTAGTTTCGGAAATTAGAAATATCTCCAAAAAGAACTACTAGAAAATTACCGAGATATTATGGAAAGTACCGAGCACCAAGCAACGGATATCAAGGACATATCAGTAATTCCCACCACATCAAAATGAGTTTTTCATGTAGTTCTAGAAAGTACTAAAAAATGAAAAGAAACTTGTGGTCAATTTTTGAAAAATTTTCGGTACTTACCGAATTTTTTAAAAATTTTTATAGTTTTTAGGATATAGTTCTTTATGTCCATAGATTTATTTCTTAATCTTTATGCTTGAAAGGTAAATAAAATATGGAAATTTCTTTTCACGTTTCAGTATACTAAGAAATTGCGTGATAAATTCATTGTAACGTAGTGCAATTACTTTTATTTCCTTGATATAACGAATTAGGCAGAGAAAATGGCTCCACTTTGCAAATCATCATTTAGCTGGTCTAATCAACTTCCAAGGCTTTGTTCAAAGCTTGAAAGATTCTGAATTTTCTCTAATTTCGAGTGCTATGTTTAGATCGAAATCTGCTTTAATTGTCTTTAAAATGTATTCAAATTACCAGATGGCTAAAAAGTCCCAACTGCTCAGGGTGTGGGTGTGGGTGTGGGTGTGGTGTGGGGTGTGGGTGTAGGTGTGAGTGTGGGTGGGTGTGGCTGTGGCTGTGGCTGTGAGTGTGGGTGTGTGATGAGAAGATATCCACACCCACACCCACACCCACACCCACACCCACACCCACACCCACACCCACACCCAC